TTTGGATTCCCTTCCTCAAAAAAAAAAAAATGATGATGATAACAAGGGCCAATGGCAAAACCGTTTTGTTTTCCACTCATCTTCTATCTGACATTAGCTTTCCAGAGCTGAATGTTAGATGCTCAGGGCAAACTGCCATTGGAAACTCATTTGAACCATAAACTAATTTTCATTGGCTTTCATCATTCCTCCCTGCTCTGCCACCTGAACAACTGTAAGCGACAAACTTTTCAACGTCCTTTAAAGCAATACTACTTCACAAATTAAATAAGCACATCATCTACAGTTCCCCAGGGACTCATTTTGAAAGATTTTGCAACTAAGTTTATTAAATATTTTTGCTATTTTTAACTTTATATTTAACTATAAGATATTAGAATTACATGAGTCAGAGCCCGGTGGCATGGCCTAGCAGCTAAAGTCATTGCCTTGAACGCGCTGGGATCCCATATGGGCACCAGTTCTAATCCCGACAGCCCCACTTCCCATCCAGCTCCCTGCTTGTGGCCTGGGAAAGCAGCTGAGGACAGCCCAAAGCTTTGGGACCCTGCACCTGTGTGGGAGACCCGGAAGAAGTTCCTGGATCCTGGCTTTGGATCGGCAAAGCACCCAGCACCAGCCGTTGCGGCTCACTTGGGGAGTGAATCACCGGACGGAAGATCTTGTCCTCTGTCTCTCCTCCTCTCTGTATATCTGACTTTATAATAAAAAATAAATAAATATTTAAAAAAAAAGAATTACGAGTCAGGAGTTAGTTAAATTTTAGGCAAAATACAAATATTTTAATCTTGCGATGGGTAAAAGTACGATTTATTTGAGTTCTGACATGTTTCTTAAAAAAAAAAAAAAAAAAAAAAGGGCCTGGCGCGGTGGCGCAAGTGGTTAAAAGTCCTCGCCTTGCACGCCCGGGATCCCATATGGGCGCTGGTTCTAATCCCGGCAGCCCCGCTTCCCTTCCAGCTCCCTGCCTGTGGCCTGGGAAAGCAGTCGAGGACTGGCTTCGGATCGGCAAAGTATCGACCCGTTGCGCTCACTTGGGGAGTGAATCATCGGATGGAAGATCTTCCTCTCTGTCTCTCCTCTCTGTATATCTGCCTTTCCAATTAAAAAAATAATAAAAATAAATCTTTAAAAAAAAATAAAAAATAAAAATTAAAAAAAAAAACCTTAACAACTACTAGAATTCCTTCAATCTTTAAAAATGAGAAAATTCACCTAGCAAATAATTTTTCCAATCACTCAACAGTACAAATGCTGGGCCTGGCACGATGGTTCAGTGGCTAAATCCTTGCCTTGCATGTGCTGGGATCCTACATGGCTACTGACTTGCATCCTAGCAATTACACTTCCTTTCCAGCTGCCTGTTTGTGGCCTGGGAAAGCATTCAAGGATAGCCAACGTCTTGGAACTCTGCACCCACATGGGAGACCCAGAAGAAGCTCCTGGTTCCTGGCTTTGGATCAGCTCAGCTCCAGCCATTGTGGCACTTGGGGAGTGAACCAGCGGGCAGAAGATCTCTCCAATCTTAAAATCTGCCTTTCAAATAAAAATAAATAAATCTTCCCAAAAACAGTACAGATTCTTCTTTCTAGTCATTAGGCCAGAGACTTTATTTTAATAACTATTAATTCTAAAAATAAAAGCTATCATTTAGAGCTAAATGCCAGTATACACATGCTTACAATTAGCAACGATCAGATTTAATTCTGGGTATTAATCCTTCCCTGTTAGCTCCCAGAATGACCCCTCTGGTAAATGCCTTGGTCTCTCATTGGTTTTTCTTTCCTTTTCAAATATAATCAACCTGGCTGGAAAAGTAGTCTGAAAGAAACCTCAGCAGGGATCTTTTGGGGTTAGAAAGGAATGAACAAAGCATTTAAAATAGAAAGAATGGATGTGCGGTACATTCTCATTTCAAAATTGCCACAGAAAGACAGGTTTGACTTCTGTTTGTCAAAAAGTTGGTGGGTTGGTTCACTGGTCCTAAATGGAATAGCCTTATCAGCCGACGGTCCTGTCACCCTGACAAGGCATTACTGAGCGCAGTGAAGCCTGACTTTGGATCCCGATCTGCCATCCACTTCTCATTCCTCCCAAACCCTTAGCGCTTTCTCGCTCAGAAATTTCAATCTGCAGGTGTACTTCTGGGTCACAGTCACAGCGTCAACCATTGCACCAGATTACTGCAATTTAAAGCCTGGAAAATCACATTTCAGTTCAAATCACACTGGCCCCACCTGTTCTGCATGAATGCACTGTGATAAATTCAGAGGTTTAGGGTTTCAGAAATTATTTTAAAATATTTCCTAACAATCTGACACGTATTTACCAGAACAGCCCCTTCTTCTAAAATGCTTTGTGCAAAGCTTGCAAGGACTCTTTTTTTATTCTTGGCAATTATCTTTCAGGAAGCACTTTAACAGCTTGCTCCTTCTTGGTATGAATCATTCAGGCCACCCAGGTGAAAGAATAGCTTTTGTTAATTCAAAACAGCGCCTAGGTCAGTTGTTCTCCACCCTAGCTGTGCATTAGAATCATCTGGGTAGGTTTTTTTAAAAATAACTAAGCCCGACTCTTGGATTAATTGCTCTGGGATGAGAACTTGGCATGGTATGTCTTATAAACTCCCCAGATGATTCTAATGTGTAGGCACAACTAAGAACCACCAGGCTATAACAATGGCATCCGCCCAGCTTCCATCAACACTTTTTTTCTTTTTAGGGTCTTAATTCTGAATCTAAGGCTAGTCTTCAACCTAAAGACTTTTAATCAAGGGAGAAATTTATGTTCACAAACTATTCCCATAAAAATAAAATGTCTTGGGCCCAGCACGGTAGCCTAGTGGCTAAAGTCCTCCCCTTGCACACGCAGGGATCTCATGTGGGCTCCAGGTTCATCTCCCAGCGCTCCACTTCCCATCCAGCTCCCTGCTTGTGGCCTGAGAAGGCAGCCGAGGACAGCCCAAAGCCCTGAGACCCTAAACCCGCGTGGGAGACCCGAAAGAATCTCCAGCCTCCTGGCTTAGGCTTGGCTCAGCTCCAGCCATTGCAGCCTCTTGGAGAGTGAACCAGCAGACAGAATATCTATCTCTGCTTTTCTCTATAAGTCTGACTTTCCAATAAAAATTAATTTTAAAAAAATAAGATGCCCCACTCCCATCATCCTTTTCACTAACGCTGCATTCAGATTTGTTATCATTATCGGTTTTATCAAATCATTTTTAGGCTCTTAAGCCTTTTAAGTCTCCCAGAAATCCCAATCTATTAGCATTCAATCTCCCAGGCTGCTTCCCAAGCCTTGGACAGCACAGATTTCTCACAGCACACCTTTTACATCTGGATTTTTTTTTTTTATAAAGAAAGCTTTCTATTTTTTTTAAAGATTTATTTTTATTATTTTTTTTATTGGAAAGGTGGATATACAGAGAGGAGAGACAAAGAGGAAGATCTTCCATCCGATGATTCACTCCCCCAAGTGAGCCGCAACGGCCGATGCTATGCCGATCTGAAGCCAGGAGCCTCTTCCAGGTCTCCCACGCGGGTGCAGGGTCCCAAGGCTTTGGGCCGCTTTCCCGGGCCACAGGCAGGGAGCTGGATGGGAAGCGGGGCTGCCGGGATTAGAACCGGCACCCATATGGGATCCCGGGCGTGCAAGGCGAGGACCTTAACCACTTGCGCCACCGCACCGGGCCCCATCTGGATTTTTAAAAACGCATTACCAACCGACTAATCTACAGCATAACACCTTCCTTTTTTTCCTGTGTGGCCATCAAAGATTCACTTCCCCTTATTTTGTCCTGAGTGCCTTCCCAAGCCATGTTGGACCCCACTGATTTCTTCCTTACAGGAATGCACAGTCTACCATTTCTCTGACATGATTGCATGGTGTGTTAACCCTTCCTCCACTATGTAGGTAAGGTCGAATGCTTATATTCTCATGGAGGAAGAGCTCATGGTTTTTACTTTATTTTTTTTTAAGATTTATTTATTGGAAAGTCAGATATACAGAGAGGAGGAGAGAGAAGAAGATCTTCCGTCCGATGATTCACAAGTGGCCGATGATTGCCCAAGTGGCCGCAACGGCCTATGCTATGCCGATCCAAAGCCAGGATCCAGGAACTTCTTTCGGGTCTCCCACACGGGTGCAGGGTCCCAAGGCTTTGGGCCGTCCTCGACTGTTTTCCCAGGCCACAAACAGGGAGCTGGATGGGAAGTGGAGCTGCCGGGACTAGAACCAGCGCCAATATGGGATCCCAGTGCGTTCAAGGCCCAAGGCTCATGGTTTTCACATGGAAGGCTCAGGGTACGTTTCGGTTTTCCCTATCAAATTGTTAACCCTCTGGTCCTCTTAACCCCACCCTACTCTTCTCACTAACGTTCTCCCAATTCCTAACAGATTCTCGGTTACTGCCATTGCCTTTTGAATTTTGAGATTCTCTACCACGTGCCCAACAGAAGCAGCCTCTCGTGTTCTAGGTGATTAGCTCCCGGCTGTTCCATCCATCTAAGTCCCTTCCCTCCCTCAGTCTAAACAATCTTTCCACCTAGACCACTTCCACTAACAACACTTCTCCGTCACCAGTCGCACTGCCTACCAAGCGACCCCCTTTCCCCGCCAAGATGTGCTCTTTCCTAAGATGGCGGCTTCAGGCCAGGTAGCGAGGCGCAAGTTCTAGCCACACAACAACATGGTTCTGGCGGGGGAGGAGCAAAGGAGTAAAGACTAAAGATTTAGAGGACAGGCCGTAGACAGTGTTGGAGAGACCAAGCAGTGGTGTGCACACACCTGGGGCCCCCTGGGCTGCAGCAGCCATTGTGGTTACCAACCCCACCCCGAGCCTGCATGCCCCCTCACGAGCCTGCGTGCCCCCACGAACCTGCGTGCCCCCACGAGCCTGCGTGTCTCCTCACGAGCCTGCGTGCCCCCACGAGCCTGCGTGCCCCGAGGATGCCCGTCACAGGAAGTCAGGGCCCCGCCCCTTAACGTCAGCGACCGGAAGTGGGCGTTACTCGGGCCAGAAGCGGGCGAAGCCGGCGGTGGGTAGAGCGTGTGGCGACTGAGGTAGGGAAGGTGGTCCGGGGCGCTCCGCCCGTGGTGTCCAGGGTGGCCTTCACCGTCTTCTCCCTTCTCTTTGCCGTTTCTCTGGCCAGCAGTCTTTGGCTTTAGGAGTTCCCAGCGCCAGAGCGGCCACCGGCCTCTGGCGGTCCGTGCGTCGTCGTCCCCTCGAGGGGCTCACTAACACCTGTTCCTACTTTATTTTATTTTTCAATTAACGTTCCCCGCCTGCGCTGCCGTCATCTCTAGCTTGCTCCTGTTTGGTAACCTACTATGTCTTCTGAGAAAAAAAAACCAAATGGTGCTACACCGCTTCTCTAGGTTCGCCCGTCGCACGACAGTCTAGTTGGAGGGACAGTGCGGGGCATGAGACCCTGCTGCTGACGCTTGTTGCGAAGCCACAGCGAGAGCCCTCGGCCTGCTCACTGGCACCAGTGGGGTTTGCATGGCTGCTTAGAACCTTCTCTGGTCAATCCTTCATGTACCCTAATATTAGAAAGTATAACCCTTGATCCTTCAAAAACCTCTTTTATTTTTTTAGTGAAAACTTAGGAGTTAATTATGGATACGGATTACGGCCAGAGGGGTCAGAGTTTCCGCATCCAAACCTAAAAAATCACCCATGTTTAGGACAGTTTTTCTCCAGCGGTTACTGTAGACAGGCCCCTGCGCAGGTTTACTGCCCCGAGGTTTAGGGCTGGCCACTGGTCTGTTCCACCATGGGTTCCAATGGTGCTGTGTCATAGAATGGGGGAAGGGGCGTGGAATTGTGGGAAGCAGCAAAGGAGAGCTTGCGTAGAGACGAGCTGTAAGTCTAACCATTTGGGGGGAGTTTTCCATGAGAGGGATTTCCTGCAAATAATAAGCTCTTTTTGCCCACAGTCAATAGTGGAGATCTCTTGTCGAAGAGGATTCAAAATGAAGAAGCACTTCTGGTCTTTCCATTTGCTGCTATCGATTTGTTTTGTTTGTTTTCATAACTGTGTTAGCTATATATTACGGGCCTCTTGGGGCCTACCATTTAGGAGTTTGCCCCAGCTCAGAGAGGAAATGATGAAGATTTGGAAAGTCTTTCCGTGGCGAGTCTTGTCACTTTAGCATGTAAGGACGGGAAGGGAGAAGGGCAGCACATTTAAGGTGTGAAAGCGGTCGGCCACGGTGGCTCTGAGCATTTGGGATGGGTAGGATGTAGACTGCCTGATGAGGTTACCAAGCTTCCTCAGGTCCTGCAAGGAGCAAGGCTGGCAGCCTGCCCATCCGGTATTTTTAAGGTACTTAAGAGGAAGGCTTTACAATAGTACGTTCTTCCAGTGTTTGGCTGGAAATAAATACTTACTTGTTTTTATTTGGAAAGCAGATTTATTGAAAGAGGAAAGACCAAGAGCTTCCTTGCACTGGTTCACTCCCCAAATGGCCATAATGGTCGGGACTGAATCAGTGCAAAGCCAGGAGCAAGGAACTTCTGGGTCTCCCGTGCGAGTGCAGGGTCCCAAGGCCATAAGCAGAGAGCTGGATGGGAAGTGGAGCAGCTGGGACACAAACTAGCATCTGTATAGGATCCCAGCTGTTACAAGTTGAGGATTAGCAAATTGAGCCATTGTACCAGGCCCTTACTTGCATCCTGGACATTAAATAGATTAAACCCTGATGCAAGTCCACAGTGACAGGCTGTTGTGATAGCGCTTAGAATAGACTTACATCGTGTTGGTTGAACACAGATTAGTTTTGATAATAATTGGTACTGGACTCTATGATTTATTACAAGAGTATGAAATAGGCAGTGATGTTAAAATGTTTCAGGGGGGCCCAGCATGGTAGCCCAGTGGTTAAAGTCCTTGCTTGCATGCACTGGGATCCCATGTGGGCGCCTGTTCTAATCCCAGCAGCCCCGCTTCCCATCCAGCTCCCTGCTTGTGATTTGGAAAAACAGTCGGGAATGACCCAAAGCCTTGGGACCCTTCTCTTGTGTGGGAGACCTGGAAGAGGCTCCTGGCTCCTGGCTTCAGATCAGCGCAGCTCTGACCAGTGCAGCTGCTTGGGGGATGAACCATTGGACGGAAGATGATCTTCTCTGTCTCTCCTCCTCTGTACATATCTGACTTTCCAGTAACAAGAAATAAATCTTTTTTTAAAAAAAGTTTCAAAGGAGTATTTTTATAGGCTTTAAAGAGGAAAAAGTTTAAAGGAAGGAGAGCAGATACTTTAGGCTTCATGGGTAGCTTCATATCAAAGTAACTACCATCTTAGACTTCCTTTCAGTATATTTCATCTAATTTCATGAATCACATTTTTTTTCCTCAGCACTTGGATACAAGCTCCTTAATTTCCACCATGGAAGAAACTTACAGTATGTACTGATTATTACTTTTAGTAAATAAGTTAAAACTTTGTTGTGAAATATTTGTATTTTTCCCTGAATTACTAAAGCAGAAAGAGGCCTGTGTGGTATTGGTGTAAAGAAGTTCCCATCACTTGAAATTGAAATAATCAAAGGAAATTGAAAAGCCGCAGATGTTTGAATAGCCAGTAGCTGGTACACCTGTAAACCGTGTTTTTATTAAATAAGGCATTTTCAGCTTCTCAGGACTCTAGCTTCTCAAAACAGTAGTAGTAACTCTTGCTTCCAAACAGCCATATTTGGAAGGAGTAGCCTTACTAGGGAGGAATTTGGATGGGAGAGAGGGTTCCTCCATTTGCAGTACATTCCCCCCCAAATGCCAGCAGTTGCCAGGCTAGGCCAAACCAGAGCCAGAAACATGAAGCTCAATCTAGGCTTCATGTGGATGGAAGGAACACAAGTACTTGGACCACAGTGCACATCAGCAGGAAGCTGGAATTGGAAGCTGAGCCAGGCTTTGATCGCAGGCCCTCCACTATAGCAGCATCTTAAGCACTGCCCCCAAATGCCCATCTCTGCCTCTGAGTTCTTAGTGACACTTTTCAGTAATCTTTTTTTTTTTTTCTTAGCAAAAAATTTCACCTGGGAGCATGTTAGAAATGCACAGTTCCAGGCCGCATCCCAGTCCACTCTGGATGGCAATCCACATTTTAACATAGTCCCTAAGTGATTTAAGAATAATGGCAACTCCCAGTGAAACTGTTGGAAACTGTAGACAGTGGGATGCTGGACTGTCTGACATTGTCTATACCAGCAATGTCTGGGTACACTTAAATAACAGACTGTTGGGCTCATGATTCCTTATAAAGGATGATACTATTGTAGCAATGTGGGAAAAATCAGTCTGGGGGTGGGATTTGGGGGGAACCCCAGTCTCTATGAAATTGATCCATAAAATTCAAAATTTAACAGCAACAAAAAAATATTAAAAGAATTGTGCTGAAGATTGAGATGTGCAGCCTCAGAAATAAATAAATAAATCTTAAAAAAGAAAAAAGGTTTATTTGCTTTTATGAAAAAGGCAAATATTAGGGGAGAGAGAAATCTTCCATTTGCTGGCTCACCCCCCAAATGGCTGCAGCAATTGGAGCTGAGCTGATCCAGAGCCAGGAGCCAAGAGCTTCTTCCGGGTCTCCCACGTGGGTGCAGGGGCCCGAGTGCTTGGGTCATCCTCTGCTGCTTTTCTTGGCCACAAGCAGAGAACTGGGTGGGAAGTAGAACAGACAGGACTCAAACTGCTGCTTATGTGGAATAGCAGCACCTCAGGTAATGCTTGCCACGGTAATGCACCAGGGCAGGCCCCAAAATTGGTTTTTTTTGTTTTTTGGTTTTTTAATTAAAAATTGGTTACCTGGAGCTAAAGAAGGTGAGGTATGAGAACTGTTAAGGGTCATAATGTGTCACTTTTACAAGACGAGAAGTTTTCAAACATTGGTTGTTTTAACAGTGTAAATACTTAATACAACCGAGAAATGACTTAAATCGTAAATTTTATATTTTACCACAATTTATATTTTTTTTTATTAAAAATCAAAGTTTCAAACCCAGCACAGTAAGCTAGCCCTCACCTGCATGCACTAAGTTCCCATTTGGGTGCTAGTTCACATCCTGGATGCTCCACTTCCCGTCCAGCTCCCTGCTTGTGGCCTAGGAAAGCAGTCGAGGACGGCCCAAAGCCTTGGAACCCGCACCTGCGTGGGAGACCCAGAAGAAGCTCCTGACTTTGGATTGACTCAGCTCTGGCCATTGTAGCCACTTGAAGAGTAAACCAGTGCATAGAAGCTCTTTCTGTCTCTCCTTCTCTCCGTAAATCTGACTTTCCAATAAAAATTACTTTTTTAAATGTGAAAAAATAAGTTTCTACTTTACAAGATCATATTAGAGTAACATAACTTGGCAGTGACCAAGGAGCAAAGCACTGAGGTAAGAAACTCATCTATTCTGACATATGCCACTGTGTGGACAGTATAATGCACATGAATTATAAGATATGTCCAACCTGTCAACTGTCAACATGGCCTGAAATTTGCTAGTGATGGAATGGATTAAATGAAGGGAAACTAATGAGAATTTCATCTGTAAACTCCCTGGGTGTCCTAAAGCTTCAGAAACAAGAAAGGATTACTGGTCAAGAAGAGCCTGCTTGGCATAATAAGCCTGTTTGTCCTCCGATATTTTTCCTTCCTATTCATTCTGTCCTTCAAGTCACCTTTCTGGCTCATTTGCATCATGATCATGGTTAGCAATTTATTCCATGTTTACCACTCTTCGAGAGAAATTGTCTGCTTCAGTTCCCCACAGGCTTTTGATTTTCATAACAGTCTTCTGGTTTATAAGCTTCTTATCAAATGTGAACTGTTTATCTTATTTCACATTTATCATTGCCTTCAGGTATCACAAGAACATTTTGTTAGGTTGTCCCTTGTCCTTAATAATACAAGGGAGTCTCAAAAGTTTGTGGAAAAATAGAATAACGCACATACTCAAAATGTGCTTAACCATCTAATTTCCTTAATCAGAGTTGTTAAAATTGAGGGAATGAGCCTGAGCATTTTGTATAGCCCAAGGGCAAATACAGACTGTGCTCATTTTTTACACAATAGTTCCTTATTTTACAGTCATCTTGACTGCAGGAGTTTATTTTGCAGGGTGGGTTTTTTTTTGTTTTTTTTTTTTTTTTTTAGCTAGCCTGTTTGGTGGTCACTGGATTAAAGAATTCTGTTTTATTTAATCTGTGTTCTAATATATAGAAGCAAAACCATTTATTTGACTGAAATGTTGGCTTCACTTAAGAACCAACTATGATTTCTAAAATCAGGAAATACATCAAAATTAAAATAGACATACAATATCAATACTTTTTGTATCCACTAATATTTCTCAAACTTTTGTAGAACATGTAACTGTTACAGAATGGTGCTTACCAATTTATTTTCATGTCAGGGAGTACTAGTAATCGATGAGTTGGATGCTTTAGTAGTACAGTATTTGGGATGCCCACATCCTGTGTTAAAGGACATGGATTGAGTTTCTGGCTCCAGTTCCAATTCCAGCATTCTGAATATGCCCACTCTGGAAGGCAGCAGGTGATGGCTAGAGTAGTTGGGGTCCCAGGTCCTGAGTGGGAGGCCCAGACTGAGTTTCAGTCTCCTGGCTTCAGCCTCACCCACCCTTGCTGCTGTTGTGGGCATTTCGGGAGTGAGCCAGCAGATGAAAGACCTCTGCCTAACATCTTTCTGATTTTAAACAAACAAAAAAAACCTCATGAATGGAGAACTTGCACTGCCCACAACTGTTGTTGGTTCTGCTTAAGACTCAGTACTCAATTTTGTCTTCTAAGGGTTACATTTTCATGTAACCTAAAGGCTGTCTTGTTCTATCATTACATATTATTTGGGAAAAAAAAATGGTCATTGTTCCTGAAATGCTTCCATTTTACAAAGGCCTGTTGTACCTGCTGTATTTTTCTTCCAGTTGACTCCCTGGACCCTGAGAAGCTATTACAATGCCCCTATGATAAAAACCACCAGATCAGGGCCTGCAGATTCCCTTACCACCTTATCAAGTGCAGAAAGGTAAGTGTTGTCTTCATAAACTTGCCCTCTAGTGCCCTTCTGACTACATTTCAAAAGCCACATTTTATAAATATCAAATGATTTTAGCATAAACATTTTCATAGAATGTCAGAATTGTTTTAGGAATCTACTTCTGTGTTAAATACCAAAATTTGTAGAAAAGAGTTTGTTTATTCCTTGAGGTACATTTTTTTTTGTTGTTTTGGTTTTCTTTCTCCTGGCTAGTGACATCCTTTTAAACACATCTCTGGCATCTTCTCAGCCTTTATAAAGCAGAGGAAACAGGAATTCTTGTTAGCAGCGGGAGATCCTTCTTATAAGTTTGATGTGTTCATTACCCCAGTAAGGATTGAATTCTGCAGTGCAGTTGTTTCTGATTTGTTTGTTGTTGTTGAGACATTTTAGAGAAGTTGAACAGATAAGGGATAGCTCAAGAAAGAGTATTCCTCAAAATATTAAATTGTTAGAGTTTAAATAATAAGCATCTTTTTAAAACAAAAATCTGTTTTTCTTTATGGTCACTCTCTTATGATCCTAGCTGGTACAAATTAATGTTTCATTAATTCAGTCACTTTGAAGACTTGTCAGGATCATCAGATACAGAGGCCAAAATTCTGCCAGGATTCACACTTCGAAAAAAGTTTTGGTATTTAATCCAAACTATATAAAGTTAGATTTCTAACAGCCTTTGAAAAGCATTTCTCTTTCAGTCCTGGAAATAGAATATACTTTTGTTATTTTTCTAGCTCTTTAATTTCTAGAATAAGAATCTTTGAAGGATCTCTGGACAGTATAGATAATCAGATGCCACTATCACTTCCTCCTCTAAGCCCTCAACATTTGCCAAGGACAGTAATTGGGAAAGGGAGCCAAGTGGTTAAAAAAAAAAAAAAATGCCTTTATAGCCCTCTCTTATAATAGTCTTAAACTTTGACCACAAAATTCTTTGCATGGAATACCTGATACCCCTCATGAAAATGCTGTGGATTTACACCCAACAAGTTTCTCAGCCCTATAGTTTTTTAGCTTTCTCCTCACTTCATATGATTTTTGGAGTTTCGTTTGTGACATCTTTTTCTTTTCCTAACGAACAAATGTCTTAATTGTAATATATATTTATCATGGTATGTTGGTGATATTAAGCCCTTTGTTTTAAAATAAGGAACTTGGGTCACCAAAGTAGTCGCTCTCATTTGGGCTTTCTCTGAATGAAGAAGCTGAAATGAGAGCGTTTGAAGCCTCGTTTCTAGCATCGTTGCTTTGAATGTCCTGTTTTACTTGGACAGATCATTGATTCACCTATTCTGCAGCTTCTTTCCAGCAGCTGTTTTCCATCCCTGTTGTATCACAGTTGCAGGAGCACTACTGCAATGCAGACTCCAATTGTGTTTTAGCGTTACTGTTCACCCTATCAGCTTTCAGGGTTGTCCAGAGAGCTCCACCATTACAGGCTAGCTCTCCTAAATTGTGTGACCTTGAGAAATAAATAGATAAGGTGTGGTTTAAATACCCGATGCATTGTTTACCTTTTTATAAGCCATTTAAAACTCCAGGGTCCATTGTCAGTCTGTATTAATAACAAAGAGGTTTATGTTTTTGAAGTATGTCTGATGGTCTGAATGAATGAATAAGTAATTCACTTTTAATTTCCTACTATGAGTTTTCCGACCATAGCTAAGCCATAAATTTACTGCAGCATTGTCGGGGAGCCATTTATGGAATAAGACTGAGTCATTCCCATTAGGCTTTAAGAGATCCAAAGAACTGACAGATTTCTTCATTTTGGTTGTACAGAATCATCCTGATGTTGCAAATAAATTGGCTACTTGTCCCTTCAATGCTCGCCACCAGGTCCCTCGGGCTGAAATCAGTCATCATATCTCAAGCTGTGATGATAAGAGTTGTATTGAGCAGGATGTTGGTAAGACTGACTAGCTAAAATATTTCAATTCTAGAGGGCAGCCCTTTCAGATTTGTATTATGCTGCATTATCAGCATGAGTTTTGGCTTTCATTTCAGAACAGTGCTTTTCTGCCCTTGAAATTTTTATCTCATAGCAGCAATAAGGTGTCAGTTAATATGTGTGTCAGAATGCTTTCTCATCTGAACATCCTGATTCCCTTTGCTTAATAAATCATCTAAAAATAAAATCCTTTTATTACCATCAGTATGGTAAACATTATTTCTTTCTCTTCTGTCAGCGAAGATAGAGGATCCCTGTGTTTAACTTTTGTGTTACTTGTTTCTGTTTTTGTTTATAACAGAGCCCCATTCAGCTACCCTGCAGTCTTTTAAGTTACTAATCCCTTACTTAAAGGGATTGCAATAATTTGGGAATATCCCCTTTCATGTCAAATTCTTGTCTTGCAGTCAACCAAACCAGGAACCTTGGACAGGAGACTCTGACCGAGAGCACATGGCAATGCCCCCCTTGTGATGAAGACTGGGATAAAGGTGAAGGGCCTCCACAGCCTTTTCTTGTCTAAATCTTATCTCCTTAAGACAGAAGGAAGAGTTTCCTTTTTTATGAGCATACCATGTTGTTTGGAAGCGTCTTATTATTTTTATTGGACCCCAAAATGAACACATTTGTGTCGCTGTGCAGACTCATGGAACAGTCTATCCCCCTTGATTGGAAAAAGCACTTCCTTACATCTGTTATGTTCTATAAATTGTGTTGGACCATCTGTGTGTGATTGTTACTGGGCACGTTTATTATTATTTATGTCGCTTGTGTTTATATCCTTCAATTCAATTCCCGCTACTGTGTCACTTAGGCAGGGTATTTGATTAATTTTTACTTCTCCAAAGTTAACTGTGTCATTTTCCATCTTATAAATTCAACTAGCATGAGCTCGTGTCTTATCTTACTTTCTAGTAGTATCACAAACTATATTTTGTTTCCTTTGGCAGATTTGTGGGAACAGACCAGCACCCCATTTGTCTGGGGAACAGCCAACTTCTGTGGCAACAACAGGTAATTAATCTCATTCCCAGCCCTGCCTCCTTAACTAAAGTGTTCTGTTACCATAAAAAGCCACCAAAGCATGGCTTAACCTCAGCCTTAATGATGTTCCCTAGTGATAACTTAAATATTATGTTGGAACCTTTTTCCTTACTTATTCCTTGATTTATTGAAAAGTCACGTGGCTTTGTGCTAATCAATGAAGATACAGAAATGTTACAACATGGTTTTAACACAAGAGACAGTAGTGCCAGACATTCTTTTAATTGGATGTTTTGCTAAGTTTACATTAGTAGTTTGAAAGAGTTTATTCAGGTGTACCACTTGGATCACTTTTACTCTAAGAAACTAGTATCCAAGAAGTAGCAGCATTTGAGAATAAGAAATCCAGAGTGTTTGTTGGGTAGAAAAAGCATGTTTTCTTCCCACCAATTTTGTACCTAACTTAAAACTTAAAAAAAAAAAAAAAATTGGGATTTATCTGTTTGAAAGGCAGAATTACAAAGGCGAGACACAGAGAGAGAGAGAGAGGGCCTCCATGTACTCATTCCCCACATGGCCACAGTGGCCAGAGCCAGGCTGATATGAAGCCAGGAGTCTCTTCCAGGTTTCCCATGTGGATACAGGGACCCAAATACTTGGGCCCTCCTCCACTACCTTCCCAGGCCACTAGCAGAAAGGTGGATCAGAAGTGGAAGAGCCAGGACTCAAATGGGCTACCATAAGAGATGCTGGCACCACAGCATATGGAGGCTCAGCCCGCCACACCATGGCACCAGCCTCATAGAATTTCTCATTACCACTAATATTCAAACCTTAGAAAATGAAGTTTCAAACCAAAATATTTCTGGATTTTGGGCTAAGTGAAATATTTACCAATTTTTTATTAAGTACTGACATCAATTCTTTTAACTATGCTATTTTATAAACACTAAAGGTTACATTTTAATTTTACCTCAAATTTATGATATTTTCTGCCTTTGATTTGGTTGCCTTAGCATTTTATTTTTTTATATCTTAACGTTTATCGAGTGACTTGATGAGACTGTCATACAACTGAACAGTAGATGGCATTGCTGTTTATCTCAATTCCTGGAAAAAGAAAATGGCTAGACCCGTCTTAATGGCAGGAAAGAACAGGGAGTTTTCCAGAGACGTGGTAATCATTCTAATTGCAGGAGTATCTTGATGGAAATGTGTTTACATTTCAGATGAATGTAGGTTGTTGTTTTCCCAATAATTACCAAAAAAAAAAAAAAAATACACACTTTTGTTTCATGCCTGCCTGCCTGACAGGCTAACAGAGTCAAATTCATCTTTGTTTTTACAGCCCTGCAAGCAACATAGTTATGGAACACAAGAGTAACCTGGCTTCAGGCATGCGAGTTCCCAAGTCTCTGCCTTATGTTCTGCCATGGAAAAATAGTGAGTAAACCAGGGGCAAAGTGCTTCTCCTCTTATCCTGTGCCAGACACATGTGGTCTTGATTATTCAGACATCTTCAGTCTGAATACCTTGCATTTGCACAGTGCTGAAAGTGAGTGCCTCTTCAGATTTTGTCCTGAGCGCCTCACCGACTTCACCTCAGTTCCAGCCCTAGTTTGGAATAGGAAAGTATAAACACGAAAGTGTAAGATGTCAGACAGGAGACTGTCTCCAAGGTGGGTGACCACTAACAGCAAACACCATGACCACATTTGGGGATCGATAAGGAACTATCGATTTCAGCTAGAAAGAAATTATCCCTGGTTTTAAGGACTATCTATCAGTAAGCAATTGGAGTTAAAAATTGGATTGCCAACATCATGCAAAATACAAGATCAGTAGATACATTTCTAGAGGAACTGTATAATGGAGACTAGCATGCCAAGAAGTAAAGACACAATGCAGTATGCATCTCTACTCCTGAATAAACGATGGACTGTCAATGAAACTGTAGGATGCTGGACTTTCTGTTGTCTATACCTACAGTGTCATGATAGACTTAAATAGCAGAATGATAGACTTGTGACGGTTGTTTAAGGACTATACTGTTGTAATAATATAAGGGAAAATAGTGCAGAGAGGGGAATGGAAGGGTGGAAGGGGAAATCTCTGAGCCTATAGTACTGTATGATGAAAAATAAATAAGGCAGTAATCCCAACAACCTAAAAAAAAAATTGGGGTTGCCAGAACTTTCTAGAAAGATGCAGCTAGAGAGAAAGAGAAAAGGAAGGCAAGATGTCCTCAGAACTGCTTGAAGAGTGGTGTGTGCAGATGTCTTCTGTAGCCACTAGAGGCCCTGCTGAAGAAACAGGCGTCAGATTCACATGGTGCCAACCTAATAAGGAAATTCCCACATGTGGAACACCCAGGATTTTTTCTTTTTTAATACAAACTGCCTTTTCTAACATTGCTTCCACATTCACATTCCCTTGATTTCAGTCTTTGCTGCCTTGTACCAGAGCTAATGTGGGGGTGGCCAGATGATTCCCTTCAAAACATTTCTCTTTGGTAACTTGGAATTGCCAAAATAACAAGATCACTAAATTATATACCAAAAAGGTAATAGGCAAAGGACCCTTGCCCTTGGTCTTGAATAGAATTCAGTCACTAATTTTAAGTTCTTCTAACTCAGGAATAGGAACAAGCCATTTGTGTTCAGTAAGACTAGGAGATGGGATGGATTTCATTTGACATGGTATATTTATTTTAAAATATTTCTACTCATAGATGGAAATGCACAGTAACTGAATATCCGTCTCACCAAGTAAGTGAGTTTCATTTCACTATCTTTTAGATGGTAGCAAGATTTAACCGGACATAAAGCAATTTGAGTCCAATTTTCTTTCAGATTATGGTACCAAATTAAAGTTTTGTATGTGCATGTGTTTTTTAAGTATATAGCCTCTGTTATGGCTTTACACACTAATGAGTAGGCATTTACTCGTTAAATTAGAATTCTGTGACTGCCAAGTGTTTTCCCAACATCAGTACACATTGCCTTTTCTTTTCTGTTTTGTTTTATCAGAGTTGCCTGTCTGCATCTATTGTGTTTCCTTTAATGGCCTGAGATTAATCAAGCAGCTGTGCTTCACTGCTCTGCAATTCTTTCCTGTGCAGCATAGTTTAACACTCATCAAAAAATTCATACTCTTTTTAATGGGCACTTAAAAGTTTTGAGTCTTTGAGAGTTTTGCACAGTTGAGTTTGCCTGGGCATTTGAGTTAGTAGTACTTCACAAAATCCATATGAAGAAACCAAAAACTCCTTTCCACGAAGCCTTTCTTTGGTTACCCCAGGTACCCGTGGCAGAGCCAGGTTTGACACTTTAACTGCAGTATTGGTCAAGCTTGCCCAGCCACATTTATCTTGGGCGAGGGAGTATTATAAAGGCCAGGGATGGGAATACATCCCACCTGTCTAGTCACTGAATGAATAAGTAATGGGCCTGTTGCCTTCTAGGTCAGTCACTCTCCCTGGACAGTGAAGCTGATCAATCTGTATGAATGTTAATTTTGTACCAAAAATATTGTTTGCTCTGGTGAGAAGCAGAAAGAAGATCCTGAGGTAGCCAGTAGTGTAACACCACAGGTTAAACTACCAATACTGTACTGGCATCCCATTATTTGGATGCATATTATTATTGGAGCATCCAGCTGCTCCAAATCCAGGCCAGTTCCCTGCCATTGGACCTGGGAAAGCAGCAGAGGATGGCCCAAGTTCTTGTGCTGCTGCACCCATGTGGAAACGCCTGGCTTCAATCTGGCCAAACCCTGGGCATTGTCAGCATTTGGGAATGAACTAGATGGTGTTTCTTTCTCTCTCTCTGCCTCTTCTTTTTCCTCTGCCTCTCCCCCTGTCACTGTAACTCTGCCTTTCAGATAAATAAGTAAATAAATCTTAAAAAAAAAAAAAGGATGCTGAAAGTAAACACCCCTTAGCTACTGATAATAGTATTTATTGCTTCTTGCCACCAACCATTTCTCCCAATAGATTTGGTGTCAGATTATCTGGCAGCTAGAAAGCTTAACTTGACCCAGAAGGGGAAGAGACACAACAGCACTGGAGTGTGTCAGGAAGGCATACCATGGACCCTACCTGCAAACAGTGCACTTTGCGTTCCCTCTCTCACATTGCACAAGGTGTCTGATGAGCACACATTGTGGGCAGTTGTCTAGTAAACTGGCTACTCTTGAGATGGAAACCTGGGGGAGCTTCCCCGTGTGTAACTCGAGACCAGACATGTGTCTCTTGGACTGTAACTCTCTGCTCTTAAGCATACACACTGAAAATTTATTTTTCTGTGTAACCCCTGAGGAACAAAAGAAAATTGTTCTGGGTTAGGCAAAAATCCTTGGGAAGCCACAAACCACCTCATTCTCTCAGTGAGATGAAGTTTCTTCTTTTGGTTGGTTGGTTGGGGTTTTTGGTTTTGGTTTTTGTTGTTGTTATTGCATGCTTGTTATTACCGAATTTTTCTAGCTGGTTTGGAAGGACTCAAAAGAATTAAAAGACGTGAATTATTCCTATAGGGAACTTCAGTTGGGAGAGATTTTGTTGTGGTGGTGATGGTGGTGGTTTTATTTTTTCATTTGAAAGGACAGAGTTAAGAGAGAGTGAATGAGAGGCAGCTTCCCATCTGCTGATTTTCTCCCCAAATGGCAGCATCCCCTAACTGAAGCTGGGCAGCAGGCGCTTCATCTGGGTGTCAGCTATGGCTGCAGGGACCCAAGTGTTTGGGCCATCTTCTGCTCCTTTCCTGGATGTGTTAGCTGGGTTGAAAGTGAAACAGCTGGAACTCAAACCAGTGCCCATATGGGATGGTGGCACTGCAGGTGGCTGTAGAAGTTTTTGAATATGATACATGAGCAAGGTTTGTTGACTAAGCACTTAAGGTATACTTCATCCCATTTGTGGTTTGTGGTTGCATTTTGTTTGAAAACTTGTTTGAAAGAGTAATAGATCTCATACCTACTGGTTCAATACCCAAATGACTATATAGCCAGACTGAAGCCAGAGGCCAGGAACTGCCTGGGTCTCCTGCTACTTTCCCAGACATGTTAGCTAAGAGCTGGATCATAAATGGATCTTGGAGCTTAAGTGGGACTAAACCAACAATCCAGTGTGGGATTCTGGTGCTGCAAGCTTAACGAGCTACACCAGAACTCCAGCCCCTTGTTTGTGTTTTACCCAGCTCCACTTGTTACTAGACAAGTGACTCAAAAGCTGGTAACACTAAATTAATTTTGTGCCCAAATATTCATTGTAACAGCTTACTGTATTGTTTAATGAATGGATAAGTGATGCATGTGAGAAGGACAAGGTCAGTCACTGACGTTAATACTGAACTGTCTGAAGGAGTTAGCTGTCTAAAGAGTCAGTGTTTTTATTTTGATAACAAGTTTGTATGCTTAGTGGTACTCAAGACCTGAGTAATGGTCAGAAGGCACTTGGTGTTCCGCCATCAGCGGTAGCAGAGTCCTTCAGCAGACATAGAGGGTTTAGCTGAGCTATGGTTGTGCAGCCTGTTGTCGAGTATAGTTGGTGCTTTGGTCCTTGAAGGGAACTGACAACTGTCCTTGTGTTGTTTCCTTGCAGATGCCAGACACTAGAAGACTCATTGTTCCTGCTACCCATGAGCTCTTCATTTTTTTCTTCCTAATCTGATTATACAATGATAAACGGTGACTTTCAAATTGACAAGTACCTTTTATTTCAGCCTCCTTTCACTAAAACCTCACTCACTTAATGTGAAAACACCCACACTCAGAAGAACCTCTGTGTGCACCCTCCATGTAGATAGTTTGGTTAAGTACCTACAGCGGCCAGGGCAACAATCACATGCCATTCTTCATGAATGAAACTGAAAGTCCTCTTAAAGTAAGCGAGAAACCTGGGTTGATAACAGTCATTGTGTATAAGTGTTCGCCAGTTCACTTGGGCCAAATTCTTGGGAGGATGTATGGGATGGGCTTTATTCTGATTCGTGCATTTGTTTACCCAAGCATTACCATTGCAAAACTCGCCATTCTTTGTTCAGAATCCTTAGGACATCTTACTGCCCACATATTTTCCACTCAGGAGAGGTGGAAAATATTATCTCTCCACAATTCCAGCTAGAAATTGTGCCAGCTGTCAGACTAGATGTGGATTCTGTAAGAACAGAATGTGGAATGGCAGGGAGAACCCAGTGTACCTATGGAGAAAAGACATGCTGTCCCCATGTGGGTGCAATTTGCTGAAGCTTCAGAGCTGACACGTGTGAGAGACTGGTGTGTACCTGGGATGTGCATGTAACAGACTTCTGAAACCCTCAAGGCCGTGGCTGCCTAGCGTCTTGTGGACCCCCAGTCTTCCCCAGAGCAGCCTTGTTTGTTCAGCTGTTTACAGGTTTGGTTTAGATTGGGTTTTAAACTGTCTAGCCTGGAAAGGAACTTGGGACCTGGTATAGATAGGCACTTGAATGAAGCTAAGAGACAAATATTTCCAAAATGTTCTCTCCAGCATTGTTTGCAGATAACAGATAAGGGGTGGGTGCCTGTGGAATGCCTCCTTCCAAGAATTTTACACAAAATAGGATTGTCCTAATGAAGTAGGGCTCCGTTTATTTAGTTCAAAGTTCTAAAAACAATCTCAGTGCAGTGCTATTTCTTTTCCTAGCTATGTACTCTGAAGTAGTTAACCAGACTGTTTCTTCAGGAAAGGAAAAAGGAAGAGGCCCCTGACACCCCCAGCCCTGGTCCCTGTGTGTGTGCATCAGGCAGCACCTCCCAGCCTGACTTTAAAGTAGCCCCAGGACTGGAACAGACCAAGCCCTTTGGATTTGTTTGCTTTGGTGATGACAGATCGAAACTGTATATTACACTGGTATCAGGGAACTGCTAGTTTAGGAAAAGCAAGTAGAGAAAGAGTGGTTGCAAATCATTAACTACTAAAATACAGCTCAGCCAGAAAGTTATGTAGAAAGCAGTTGCTTTGTTTTTAAAGTGACAAAATGAGCTAGCAGCTCTCATTCATGAAAAGCTCCAGTAGCTTCAGAAGGACATGTGTCTGCTTAAGACCTCTGGTCATCCCAGAACATCGGACCTTTGGGAGGGTGATCAACCCGCTGTGTAAGAATGTCTGCCCACGTACATTTTGTTAGCTCACACACAGCAGCCAGTCCTGGTTTTTTCCTTAGTAAATGAACTATTGCAGTCGCCGATTTGTCTGGTTCACAAGCTTTAAGAGTCTGCTTGGTGCTTTTATTGGACCTAGGACTGGCTAATATGGACTTAGTGTGATGGAAATGTGGGGAGGATTCCCAAACACTGGTATACAGAAGTGCTCTTTATCTCAGCCACTTCTGTCACAAGCTTGGGAGGTAGCTAGCTTATCTTTGAACCCCTCCTTTTCAGAGGATGCCCTTCCGTGGAAATGTGAGTAGTGGAAGGTAAACAGTCGAATATTCTGCTGCAGTTTCAGCTAAAGATTAAACGCAGAAGGTACTTCAGAGCCTTAACCGAGAGAGGTAGGCTTTGAGTCCTGCATTTTGGTCTTATCCAGGGCTTCCATACTCTACCCCAAGGAGAGGATTGGCTGGCTGCAAGATTGCTTTTCTCTGTCGGGGTTCTAGAAGTGCCATTGTGATTTGCATTTGTTCTCTCCAGGAGTCAACAAATGTAGATGATAAGTGATGCTTAGCTCTCCAGGTAGCTGTACCTGAACTAAACAGAGAAAAGGGTTTGGATTGAATTCCACATGCTGCACTGTACCCTTTCAATTGGTGAGGCAGAAGAGTAGCTACTGTGTTAGTCTTTAAGACAAAGTATCTTTAGAATATGTTGGCATTCTTGGAGTGCCTTAGCTATATTTTGCAGAGTTCATTAGTCAACTTTAAGCAAAAATTGGGGAGATAGCATCCTTATTTCTCCTGTTTGTGAAAGGGCAGGTGATGGAACATCAGCGTGACTTGTTTACTGTAGACTACATTACAGATGAGCACAGTTGCATTGGCCCCAGGAGGGGGAGAGCTGTGAGAGTCACACTTCCATGTGTTGGTGTGGTGTGTAAAGTAGAAAGGCTAAGTTCCATGAGAAAACCCTGCAGTGAGTGACTGCTGTTTGGATCACTGTCTTCCAGACGCTCTTAAGCTTCTGAACTCCCTGCCTTACAGACTTGGCCTCCTTAGAGTCCACTGCCTTCCACCAGTGTCAGCCAGTCCAGTCCCAGCCTCCAGTGGCATCCGCTGCTGAGCTGGCTGAGCGCGGTTCTGGGATGAACCAGGCTCACACAGCATTTCCCACTCAGTGTCCCCTTAGAAACTTGGTATCTGGCGAGAAGTAGGAAATCAGATTGCTAGTTAACACAGCATCCTAGACCAGACATTAACCCTACGAAAGGATTTGGCCAACGGATTTGCATTTGTAGCTGCCTTACCAAAAGACTGTTTTATATGAATCTAAAATAGCGTAAGAGATTTCAAGAAAACATGAAGACAGGTGTAGTTTTTGTATTATCTACAAAATAAATCCCCAGTTGTATGAAAAACTGCCTATCACCCCAACCGTGTCTCTTAATTTTTATTAAAATGTTTGTCACAGAAATAAAGTCTGCTTTCCAAGATCATCTGGTTCCGGTTCAATTTCCTTGGGCTTGGCCTTGAGATTTCCAGTGGACAGGATCAGAAGCTGCCCTTTGCTCAGCTCTTTGTGTTGCTTTCCACTAGATCTTTATAGCAGAGGTACAGATTGAAAGTTGATGGAAAGCTTGATGTTGAGATTAGAAGCGCTATTGAGATACCCTTTTGTTGAATTGGAGATTTCCACAAAAGGTTGTTTTAGCTTTATCCTTGAAAAATAAGCACCGGCACGGTTATACAAGGTATGTGCCTTTGGTATCCCTTTCTCCCATCTCAGAGAGCTGGAAGGGAGCTGTAATCTAAAGCTTCGTCTTACATTTGAAGAAGCAGGTCCCAGACAAAAGTGAAGCAACATTTTTTAAGGAATGAGAATGATAAACACAAAGTTGAACTCTGATTAGAAAAGAGGCCAGGGTGTCCAGAAGTTTGCTTGCAAAGTAGGATGGTATGTTTCTTGGTGTTTAGGGTTTGATATGTATGTATCAAGTGCTATGTAACTTTTAAGTGCTTAAGAATAATTCTTTGGGTCCAATATTATCTGCTTAAGCCATTTGAAATGTCCAGCATCCCATATGAGTGCTGGCTAGTTTCAGGCCCAGCCATTCTGCTTCCAGCATAGCTTCCTGCTGGTGCGCCTAGGATGGCAGTAGATGACCCACATGGGAGACCTGGAGTTCCATCCTGTTCCTGGCCTAGTCCCAGCTTTCCAAGCATTTTGGGGACTCAACCAGCGGGTGTGAGATTCTTAACTCTGCTTTAAAAAAAAATTTTTTTTTAATTGGACTCAGCATGGTAGCCTAGTGACTGAAGTCCTATTCTTGCATGAGCCAGGGTCCCGTATGGATGCCGGTTCTAATCCCAGCAGCCCCACTTCCCATCCAGCTCCCTGCTTGTGGCCTGGGAAAGCAGTCAAGGATGGCCTAAAGCCTTGGGACCCTGTACCCAGGTGGGAGACCCAGAAGAGGCTCCTGGCTCCTAGCTTCAGATTGGCACAGCTCCAGCCACTGCTGCCACTTGGGAAATGAATCATTGGATGGAAGATCTTCCACTCTTTCTCTCCTTTCTGTATATCTGACTTTGCAATAAAAATAATTTATTATTATTATTATTGGAAAAGCAGGTATACAGAAAGGAAGAGAGACAGAGAGGAAGATCTTCCATCCGATGGTTCACTCCTCAAGTGAGCGCAATGGCCACTACTGCACCAATCCGAAGCCAGGTCTCCCACATGGGTGCAGGGTCCCAAAAATAAATCTTAAAAAAAAATCAGTAAAATATGAGACTGGCAAGGTAGCCTAGTGGCTAAAGTTCTCACCTTGAACACACTGGGATCCCATATGGTGGCCAGTTCTAATCCTGGAGGCTCCACTTCCCATCCAGCTTCCTGCTTGTGGCCTGGGAAAGCAGTAGAGGATGGCCCAAGGCCTTGGGACCCTGCACCCTCACAGGAGACCCAAAAAAGCTCTTGACTCCTGGCTTCAGCTCAGCTCAGCTCAGCTCAGCTCTGGCCATTGTGGCCACTTGGGGAATAAACTAGAAGACAGAAGATACTTCTGTCCTTCTCTGTGTAAATCTGACTGTCCAATAAAAATTAGTCTTATTTAAAAGTTAAAATAGATGCAGAGTACCTAACTGTAGATATTTCTTTCTAGTGCTTTACATATTTAATTCGAAAGGACAATAGGTCAGGGCCTGGAAATTCGATCTTTGCTGTGGATGCACAACTTTCTTAGTCGTGAGCTGCAACCATAACCTAGTATCTCTGATTTCTAGTTTACAGCTTCAGGTTCTCAACCACATAGCATCCCTAAATTTTGATTCTGGACTTCACCTTTCCTTTTTCCCAGCTGTGGGTGTCCTCCTGAATTCATTTCGCTGTCTGCCAGGTAACCTTTAAAACAGGATAAGCAGACAGCTGGTTTAGGATCTACTGAGCCAGAGGTGACTGTAAGCTACCCCACCCAGCTACTTGTCAGTCAAAATTCTGCCTTTCCCAGGATCATCTGGCAGCTGGAGGGAAGACACCAGGAAAATACGTTTATTGAGCTCCATGTGGAATGTATGGAGGTACCCAGA